ATATATATATAGCTGATTAAAAGCTATTGGAAAAACTGGCAATGAGTTGAAAATGTCTCATTTTTAAGAAAAATGATTAACAGGTTTCGACTTGTTTTGTTGAACCACAAATCTAGAAAGCACTTTATAATTTGCTATGGGTATTAACCAGGATCCAGTCAGTACTTCACAATCTCATCAGAGCCTGTAAATATTTCATTTCATAGTCTTAGTGTCTCATTTAAAGCTCAATGAATATTTAATTGAAGTTGACCAACAAAATAACTGAGAGAATTATGTTGCATTTAGTTAGGCCTCAAATGAGCAAACTCTTCATTTTCTCAAGTAGTTGGAAGTTAAAATTATTCCAACTTCATGAAATATTCTATATAATTTTATAAGTAATTAAAGGGCTGCAAAATGGGCTTAAAAGGCACATATTGAGAAAAACATGAAATAAAAGGAATTTTCAACTGTAAATGCAAGAGAATAGTTTAATATATTGTGGCCTACAACATTACCTATTCATCAGTGGATTAGTTTCAACTGTTGTAAATAACCTTCATATTTTTTAAACAACCATAAAGTTTATCTCTTCATTCTAGTTCAAAGCATTGGCTCTATTGGGTCATGCAATTTGGATCTCAAAAGCCATTTGGGAACCTGAGAGTTTTAAAATCATTATCATTCTTTGAAAGCTGAGGCTTTCTCTAAATGAGTAAGAGAAAAAGTTTGCTTTTATAATAACTCCAAGAGACAATAAAAGTCTATCAATGACAATGATGGTTTTTAGGAGGCCTGGGTCATGAAAGTTGGATAGTTATGGTACCGCTACTCAGCTCTTTTAAATAACCCTCATTTTGACAGAAGTAAAAAGACAATCTTTTCTTTGGCCCTTGCAAATTAAATATTCTAGAATGATGATGCGCAAACAACTATAAGATTGATATTACCAGGAAACCAAGCATGATCCATCCAAGTAAGTCAGCCCAGAAATTGTTTCTGAACTCTGGGTCCAGCACTGAGCCAGGTAATGAAAATAATTTTTTTTAAAGGAGAAATATTAGTCCATGTTCAATGTAGAGATGGTTTCCCGGGAAAGAAGCTTCCCTGCAGTCGGTTAGATAGCCGTAAGTGTCAGAAGTGGGCTTCAAAAACATATATATGTGCTCTAATTGATGGACTCTAACACTGATGACATGGGATATGTCACTTCTACTGCATTGGAAGACATTTTAATTGGAATCAATGTATTGCCAACCAATCTATGTTAAGCTGCTAAAAACCACCTGGTAAACAGCATACTAAGGTTTGAATTCTTTATCTAGTCCTAAATTATTTTTTAATTACAGTACCTAAATAATCTAATAATAGGCTCTTTTTTGGAGAAGAGAACATGGGGTGGTGATACAGGGTTGGCGAAAAACACAGCATATCCATACAGTTGCCTTTCGGGAAATAACTGGTCACCTTGGGTTTTTTTTCCCTTTGACCTTAATCTCTTTTTAAGATATTCAAATGGATTACCTTTGTCAGCTGTCAATATGCCAGTACATGTGTGTGTTATGTGTACAAACATGCACATTAAAAAAGTTCAGACTTGTTTAATAATAGTACCTCTTTCCTTCACTTCTACAATTCTTGCCATGTCACACTTTGGTCCTCTGACTAGCCTGACCAGACTCTTAGTGTCCATAGAAGAGCAACTAATCCTGTCCAGGGGAGGAGATGATAGCCATTAGCCAATGAAGGTGAACATTTGGCATCCTTAAACCAATGCACCTGGTCAGAAATAGGAGCAGGGATAACTTCTCTTTGTTTAGGGTACTTTTGTTCTTAAATGTGTCTTTTCAGAAGGACTAGCCTTAACATTTACATTGTGGACTCTTATTTTCTCAAATATACTTAATATTTAGTACATGTAACATTTTAAGATTGCATTTCTCCCAATGTCATGTGACTTACCTGTTTATCAAAAGCTACCCAGGATGGTGCCTCACTTCCCATTTCTTGAGGAAATACAGTGTATTTAGGCTCCAGCTTTTGCCAGGAAAGCAGTTCTCCACCTATTCCTGGTTTACTTTCACTCATCAGCATACCAACATTGTTGCAAAAGCCCCAATGTTGAGATTTGTGAAACTTCTGCTTTCCCACCTGTGAACACAAGAGACAACATAAAACGGCCAAAGTTACTCTTTATGACTTTACTTATTTGTTTCAAAAGGTAAACACATTTCCCATCATTTATTTTTCCCATTACAGAATACATATTAGAGTGGCAAATAATTCTGATCATTATTTACCCATAAAGGTGTGTCACATTTTATTTTATTTTATTTATTTTTTAAAGATTTTATTGAGGAAACGGGGGAGGGAATCAGGGAAGGGGAACAGACAAGTTGTTGTCCTTTTGTTCTTCAATCTAGTTGTGGAGGATGTCGCTTCGCTGGCCCATGTTGGTATTATTATTGCACTCTTCCCGGGTGAGGCAGTCACTAGCCAGACATTGGACAGCCGCTCACGGCAGCTCATGGCAGCTACCGGCCGTTCACACCAGCTGCCAGCCACTCACGGTAGCTTATGGCAGCCCACTGCAGCAGGGGCTGCAGCCTACGCCGTCGCCGGCGACTCACGCCAGCCCAGCTCCAGGTCGAGCTGTTGTTCAGCATCTTAGCTGTAGAGGGTGCAGCTAAGGGCCCTGCTGCTCAGAGCTGACGTCCCAAGCCAACTCTTAGCCAATGTGCCACTCGGCCGGCCCTGTGTCACATTTTAAATTCAATTCATTTTAACAAATTCAAAACTTAGAAAAGCAGTAAGAATAAGCCTAATGTTCCATGCTATTTAAAACATTTAAAAATAACTATTGCCACAAGTGAACATTTGGAACATTAGTTTGCTAACTAGTCTATTCTCCTTATTTGCCAAGAATGCAAACAAGGGGGGAAAAAAACTCCTGTGCTTCAGAGTAAAAATCTAAGTTTCCCCATTGAAGTCTAAACATTATTTTCACCAAGTAGAGAATAAAATCCTTTTCTCATTAAAATAAATGTAACAGGAAATTCCTCAGAGCTGACATTCTCCTCCTAATTGTAAAACATTGCCTTCCCTCTTCCTCACTCCCCTCCCATCTTTTCTGGGGATCTGGGCAGAGAAAGGAAAGCCCAGAAAACCCTACCTAAGGCTGGCAAAGACGTGGACCAACATCAACTCTCATGCACAGCTAGTAAGAAAGTAAAGCAGAAGATTCCCTCTGAGGAGAAAGACGACAAGACCTAGCTAAGTGAAAGGTATATGTACCCTATGGCCTAGCAATTCCACCCCAAAATATCTTTTGTGCTGCGGATGAGGAGCTATATATCAGATGATTTGTTACATCAGTGTCTGTGTGAGTGAAAAGTAGGAAACAATCTAAATGTCCATCAACAGCAGAAAAGATAATTGTGTTTGCTTTATAAAATGGAATATTAATACAGAGGTCTAAAGTTACATGTATCAATATTTATAAATCTAAAAAAATGTCAAGCAAAAACAATAGGGAGTAGAAGGACACATAAAATTTCATAATTCCACATATATGAAGCCTGAAAATATTTTAAAACACAGTGTTATTTATGGATAATATAAACATGGAAATTATAAGTAGCAAATTCAAGATAACATAATATCCATGATAACATATGATACAATAAATATCATATATCATATCACAATGAACATCTGTGTACCCTACAGCCATGCATAAAAAATAAAACATTTCAGGTACAACTGAAACTGTCTCTCAAAGTTCATGCCCTTGCCTCCCTCTCTAGGGGTAACCATTATCCTGAATTTGCTACTTGAACTTGAACACTTTGCCAGGATTATATACAGCCCCGGCAATAGCCTCTTGCAAAGCATGATGCACTGGCAAGGAAGTCTGAGAGGAACTTCAAAAGAACTATTGTTTCTTTGTCTTTTCTTGTTTCAAGACAACCTAGTGAATGAGAGAAAACATTTGCAAATCATTTATCTGATAAGGGGCTAATCTCTAAAATATACAAACAACTCATACAACTTAATAGCAAAAAGAAATTCGATTTAAAAATGGGCAAAGGATCTGAACAAACATTTTTCCAAAGAAGTCATACAGATGATAAACGGACATATGAAAAGATGTTCAACATCACTAATCATCATGGAATGCAAATCAAAATTACAGTGAGATACCATCTCACACTAGTTAAAATGGCTATTATCAAAAAATAACAAGTGTCGGTGAGGTTGTGGAGAAAAGGGAACCCTTGTGCATTGTCTGTGGCAATGTGATTTGGTGCAGCCACTATGGAAAACAGTATGGAGGCTCTTCAAAAAAACTAAAATTAGAGCTGCCATATGACCCAGTAATTCCACTTCTGGGTATTTATCTGAAAATGAAAACACTAATTTGAAAAGATATATGTATCCCCTGTGTTCACTGCAGCATTATTTACAATAGCCAAGACATGGAAAGAACCTAAGTGTCCACCAATGGATGAATGTATAAAGAAAAACATGGTATATATAATAGAATATTATTGAGCCATAAAACAGAATCAAATCTTGCAATTTGTGAAAACATGGATGGACCTTGAGGGCATTAAGCTAAGTGAAACAAGCCAGACAGAGAAAGATAAATATCATATGATCTCATTTATAAGAGGTACCTGAAAAAAAAAAAAAGCCCTGAGCTCACAGATACAGAGAAAAGATTGGTGGTTACCAGAAGTGGAGGGTTGGGGGTGGTGGGCAAAATGAGTAAAGGGGGACAAAAGATACAAATTTCCAGTTATAAAATAAGTCATGAGATGTTATGTACAGCATGGTGACTATAGTTGTTAATACTGTATTGTATATTTGAAAGCTGCTAAGAGAGAAAATATTAGAAGTCATCACAAGAAAAAAATTTTGTAACTATGTATGGTGACGGATGTTAACTAGGTTTATTGTGGTGATCATTTTGAGATATATATATATATATATATATAGACACACACACACATATATCGAATAATTACATTGTACTGTTATATGTCAATTATACCTCAATAAAAATAAAAACTAAAATACCCAATATTAAAAAGAGAAGACCTCATTTCCTCTTAAAGTGAAGTCAGCTTGGAAGAGTGGGGAAGGGCCTAAGCAGCTCTGCCCAGGGGAGCCGGGCCACAACAGCCACAGATAAACAGCCCAGCTCAAAGGCTGTGGGAGGAAAGCTAGAGGCAGTGGTTAGGATGGTGAGCTATAGCCTGGGTCTGTCCCTTACAGAATCCATTGCCAACACCTCTACCAGACCCCCAATGACCCCACATGCTCACACACTCTCACATACACTCTGCGGTATCTCTCGGAGGAGTTAAGGGTCCCAGCCCCTCCCCAGCCCAGGGTGCCAGTACCAGGGAAAGAAGTCCCCATAATTTCTGGATGTGAAAACCAGCAGAGATTATGACTGAACGAGACAGAGGGTGGCTATAGTCTCAGGCGCTCCTCTTAAAGGGATAACACATGGACTTACTCACCAACAGAATCACTGGCTCAGAGCTCCAGCACTGGAGCAGCAGCTGGAGAGGTGGCAGGGACATATTGGGGGGGAAACCGAGTTGTCTGGCTTTAGAATGGGCTGGAGGGGCAGCTTTCTTCTGGATGGAAGAGCTGGCGGAGGCCACTGTTTCTATGTTGAGCCCTCCCCATTCCCTGTGTGCAGACACAGGTGGCCAAAATATCTGAATCTCCATCAAACTGGCTCATGCCATTCATTTGTCATGCCCTAGTGCTTCAAGACTCCCTCACCCCCGCCAACTTTCAGGCACACCCAAGCTGCTTCCAGTGTCTTTTTTATAACAAACCCCCTGCCTTGGCTCATGCTGCATACTTTCTTATGGTCTCTCAAAGGTTCATGGAACCCACACAAGCAGCAACTGACTTGAGAATGTCCTATAGATCTGGCTGAGCAGCCCAAAGCCCAACACTAGCAGCAGCCAGCCTTGGTTCATGACTTAGCCTCTGAAGGCACTTCCAAGCACAGCACAAGTGGTAGCATTCTGCAGATTTCTTTGTGGCTCCTGCCTGGGCACTCACTGCAGCTGAACTTGACATGTAGCGGGTCCCCTCCCAGGTGGCCCTGGGGCTGGCACCCCCAGCAGCCTACTTCTAAATGAGCTGGAGCATCACCCAGCTGCCTCCCAGGATGACACAACCAAGGGACAGACTGGGCAGCTACCAGAGCCCTGCTGAGGCAGATCCTGCTCTGTAGGGTCAGCCCCTGCACCACAGCTCCTCCACTGTAGTCACGGCCAGTCCTCACAAACAATGAGCACACGGGTGAATCCCTCCCACTGAAGTGCCAACAGCAACCAGGGTTCAACTACAAGAGGAAGACATGCACAACCCACACAAGGGACAGACCTGCATGTGCCACTGAGCCCCATAGCACACCTACTACATAAGGCCACTCTACAAAGACTGGGAGACATAGCAGGCCTACCTAGTACATAGAAATAAACACAGGGAGGCAGTCGAAATGGGGAGACAAAGAAACATGTCCCAAGTAAAAGAACAGAACAAAGCTCCAGAAAAAGAATTAAACTAAATGGAGACACACAATCTACCAGACGGAGTTCCAAACACTAGTTATAAGGATGTTCAGTGATCTCAGGGAGAACTTCAACAAAGAGATAGGAAACATAAAAAGAGAGATAGAAAACATAAAAAATGAACCAGGCACAAATAAAGAATACAGTAACAGAAACGAAGAATACATTACAGGGAATCAACATAATAGATGAAGCAAAGGATCAAATCAGCAATTTACAAGATAAGGTAGCAGAAAACACCCAATCAGAACAGCAAAAAGAAAAAAGAATCCAAAACATTGAGGAGAATTTAAGGGGCCTCTGGGACATATCAAGTGTACCAACATTCTCATCATAGAGGTACCAGAAGGAGAAGAGAGAGAGTAAGGAACTGAAAACCTATTTGAAGAAATAATGACAGAAAGCTTCCCTAACCTGGTGAAGAAAATAGATACACAAGCCCAGGAAGTGCAGAGAGTCCCAAACAAGATGAACCCAGAGGCCAACACCACAAGACACATAATTAAAATGCCAAAGGTTAAAGACAAAGAGAGAATCTTAAAAGCA